GTTGGTATCTTCCGAAGAAGCTGCGATCAGCACCTCGGCAGGCGCTTCTACCTGTTCTTGTTTGATAGAATCAGGTGAGGTTTCACCAGTACCAGCAGCTTCGGTCTCTGCGGCATCGGTATTGGGCGCTTCCGACCTCGACTCTTCTGGGTTCTCCAGAGTCCAAGTAACGGGGTACACATCTGCCGTCCTCACAAAGCGTGGCGCCTTATGAGACACGTGCCTCGTAGCGTGAAAGTCGTCCATCACAGTCCCAGATAGCGTCGACGACTTCCCGGTCTGCTTAGCCATCTTCGAGTGGAACATGGCGCTAGCTGCGTTCTTTGTGCCTTTGAGCGTTGGGTACACGGTGGATACGTATCGAATCATTTCTCCGATAGACAATTTATGTTCATGAGCCGCGTTGATGGCTTCGGCGAAGAGCTCGCTCCAGGTTGGCGTCGAGGGATGAGGATATGGTTGAGGAGGTAGCGTATAGGGCAGAGGTTTGTCATCGAGAGGCGTAGGTTCATCCAGGAGAGGTGTATCGACATCCATTCCCTCGGATGCCTTCGTGTCGATTTCAGCCCCTTCTAGTTGCCTGATATCGGCCGCCTGAGTGTGGCGCAAGTTTGTGGGCGCTGCCGAGGGTTGATGGTCGGCAGCCGGGCCACGGTCATTTAACGCAGGCGCAGGTGCTAAAAATGTGTAAATCATAGCGATGTAGTGTCCTATTGAAGCCTTACCTGCAGGACTCATGGTCGTAGTCGTGGGCGTCGATATGACCTGCGTTACGGGCGACTGAGTCGCTACAGGTATAGGTGGGCCGGCGAGGCGCTGCACCTGTGTGGGAATGGGTTGTTGGGAGACCACCTGAGGGGACATTAGCCATGTTTATCCACTTATAAGTGTTGGGTGCATACCGGGGACATAGGAGGCTGGGGAGTCGGTGTCACAGTCGCGTGAACAGAGTTAGCCATCTTCTCCTTCTCCTTGCGAAACTTATCGAGGTCTTGAGCCATCCACTTCGGTTGCTTACGAGGCTTCGACACGCCTATATTCGGGCGTACGGGTGGTACAAGGCCAGTCGGCGTAGTGGAAGACGGTAAAGTGGGTTGTGTGAGCATTTGTAACGGGGCGTGTGGTGCGGCGACATGCATGGGTATAGGTGTGGGCCCGGAATACGCAGTAGGAGTGATGGGCGCCGAAACTTGCGGCGATGCAGTTGTGTGTGGCGAAGCTGCAGACAGAACCGGTGTGGCAAGCGACGGTGTCGAACGTGTAGACGAAACGACAGATACAGCGTCGGGTTTCCTCTTCGCGATGCTCTTCGCGATGATCTGTCGATATTTCTCGTCCAGGACCACGCTCTGCATAGCCGCCTCCAAAGAGGTTTTGTCGAGCAGAGAGTCCGGGTCGATTCCGAATGCAGCAATACAGGATGTTATTCTGGCTACAGTGTGGCGCATTAGTCACTGAAGGCCGAAAGAGGAAGTGGACTTGACGTACAGAGAAGGTCGGGCCGTGCGTCGCCTCCTTTGGGTGGTCGAAGCATCTCGGGCTGATAACTGCCCACGACGACCAGTAGCCGTTTGAGCTCATCGTAGGCTGGACGGTACGCCTCTGGCAAATGGGATAGTGTGATGGGACGTAAATGCCTCAATTCTCCAGGCACTGTGTTCTGCACGGCGCCGGTCGCAATCTACATCACAATTCAAAAGACCGCACATCTCCTAGGGAGTAATTCATCTCACTTCGACGCAGTCAACTATCTGTGTTTCGTATTCAGTACCGACTCGTCTATGGCCTCAGGGTCTGCATCGTCCGGCACTCACGTCAGGCCGCGCTTCATCATAGTAGATCCGCGCGTCGCACACAAACTCGACAAGTGTATGCGCAAGTCTGACCCATTTGACCGGGTCGCTCTGCAAGTTGGCGTCGACGAGCTTCTTCTTGTATTTCTGGAATGTGGCGGCATTGTGCTCGCGTATGGACTTGGCATTCGCATGCTCATTCCCACGGCTCATGACAGCATCCCCGATATCGAGTTTCGAGATTGGCAAATAGGGTTGGGGGTTGGGCGGTGAGCGCGCGAAGCAAGTTGCATTCCCGCCGTCGCGTCGCGCGCCCGCTCGCCGCTCACCTCCGCGATCAACCCGGGCCACCGCGTCAAGCAAGGCTTTTGCTCCGAGCCACCATCACTCAATACAGTGTCAGTTACCATTCCTACACACCGTGCCTAGACCTCCATTGGATTGATTTCATCCTGTCTGAATAGACGCCCAACAGGATAATTTAGGCGCTCTCGATTGGGAATTCGAATTCAAATCTGCCTTCTCTCGGTGCATGTCCTCCCAATCCGACCAACAACGCCGGCTCTCCCGGCCTCACCATCGCACGTTTTCCCCTTGAGGCCGTCTCAGCTGTCCGATTTCAATGCCGGTGTCGTACACCTCCGTATGGCCCACTCTATTGCGGACTTTGTGGCTCGGGTATAAAGCTCGTACGGTGTGAAACGGCCCAGAGCCTCATCGACGGTTCGCCTTGCTCGGTTCCCTCGAGTCTACACCGCAATGTCTGCCTCGACCTCGACTGCTGCGCCTAAACGATATGTGCTTATCACTGGTTGCTCTCCGGGAGGAATAGGGCACGCGCTGGCGCTGGAGTACCACAGACAAGGGCTACATGTCATCGCGACCGCGCGACGATTAGAAGTTATCGAGGACCTACGCGCTCTCGGTATGACGACCTTACGGCTCGACGTCACCGACAAAGAGGCTATTCGGAGTGCACGCGACGAGATTGACGAGCTCACGGGAGGCCGTCTGGACGTCCTCATCAATAACGCTGGTTACGGCTATACCGTGGCCGTGACAGACATGCACCTCGAAGACGTCCGCAACCTATTCGAAACGAACGTCATTGCGCCAGTGGCGATGGTTCAGGCGTTTGCGCCTATGCTTATCGCGTCGGGAGATGGACGAATCGTGCAGCTCGGCAGTATAGCTGGGTTCGCGCCTATACCATTCGGCGCGGCGTATAACATGAGCAAGGCGGCGTTGATGGCGTTGTCAAATACGCTTAGGGTTGAGATGGCCCCATTCAACGTGAAGGTTGTACACGTATGTTTGATTCACTGCCTCGATGACGTGCTCTAGAGCCTGATGCTGTATGCAGGCCATTGTCGGACGCGTGAAGACCGAGATCGTGAAACCACGCAGTATACCAGTCGATTCACTATTCAGGCCTATGGAGGAGGTGTTCCAGGCGAAGCGGATAGGTGTCTCCCAAGGTCAGTCTCAGCTCGTACAGACTCCACGCATCTTCTGATAGTGCCACTGTTGAACAGAAGGTGCAATGCCAGCCGACGAACTCGCCCGTGAACTTGTCCCAGAAACACTACGATCACATCCAAAGCGGTGGGTATGGGCCGGGGGTCAAACCTGGATACCCTGGTTCTTCTATACCTTCCTTGGTCAACCCGGGTTCGATTGGCTCATGAGAAAGATGTTCGGCTTCTCAGAGTTTTCCGGTGTATGCATCGACGGAGAGCCCAAACTTATACCTGTATAGCATCGGCCGTCCATTCGTGGTTCTACCGTCTTTCTGTATCTTGCCGAATGCATCTCCCGTTATACCCGAGCGTCTGCCACACGTTCTCAACGTGTAGTATCCATCAACTTTGTATCTAGCCGATGTTGCGTTTGGGGTAGCGCTGATAGCTTCTAGCCTGATCTTCCCTTCAGCTGATGTTAGGCGCTCATGAATGGAATGATAGCGCCACTGACCCCAGCATCATTCCTACACAACCTCATATAAGAACCCGCGCCACTTCAATCGCAACATCACGTCCGCCTACGCCCACCCAACATGTCGATGTTCTACCTTCAGCCGGACGCCAGCCAGTCCATCATGGGCTTCCCACAGCGATCCGCTGTTTACCCACGCGCGCCTGCCGCCAGTTTCAGCACTAGTGCACTGCGGCATCGTCCGACATTTCCTACCCCCTTGAGTCAGGAGTACAGTAAGAAGGACGAGGTGAAGGTGGCGGAAACGAGGACACGACAAGGGCGCTTTAGGGCCGTTCTCGCGAAGTTCCGGCTCGGGCGTCGCGGGAAGGAAGGTGGGACCCGAGTCGCCGTTGCCTGATGCGACTGGTGAGCGTGAAATAGCTCTATGAGGTTACTGTAATAGTACACTAAAAACTCTACCTAGCTGGTACACGCATCGAACAAATCACTCGTCCCAGAGCGCTAGCTTCACTGCAGAACCCGGATACCCACTGATTTCTCGCTTCGTTACCCATGTACCATCAATGCTATCTCTTCTTTACTCGTATTTCAGCCATGTAATTGAGTGTATTGGCGATTCTGCTGCTCCTTGCGATGTTTTGAGACGCCGATAAAGTCTAGAGAAAGTGAACGAGAAACAAAAGTCGGGCCGGAATCCGGTTGAAACTCAGGTGATCGTGTCTGTGGTCGAACGCGTCGACGCGCGACGCGACGCGTTCCAAGCCTCGACCACCACCTCCGCCTACCATTTCTCTCTCCTCAGACCTATCGCCATGGCAAAAGAAGAGGAGATAACAGACTATCTGACCAAAGAGCTTGTTGTGAACAAGAATATCGTGCGTTAGATAATTCATCAAACACTATACAAGTTCATTAACGCGTGGTGACTGGCAGGTCACATATCGTAGCCTCAGTCGCGCCTTGGGACTACATGTCAACGTCGCTAAGAAGTATGAACTCCGGAATATGATGTGGATGGTCGCTCATCAGTGTCATCTGTTAGCGAGCTTGCACGATACCTTGAAACGTACCATGATACCCCCGAGCGTGCCTGCGCTTCGTACATGATCTCCGGCGAACCCTTTCCCCGTCAACGACGAGGTTATCGGGATGATTCAATGGACGCGGACGAGGAAGACTCTGAAGAGAGCGACCTGACCACTGAACAAACTCGGATGACGCTAACCACGGAGGATGCGCTTGAAGGTATGTGGTTATTCTATACGCAAGATAGTGTCTCATTTTGATATCACTTGCAGAGGCACGGTCTCACTATACCAAGATTACGTCTACCTATGTCTACAGTCTTTCGCCTGCGCCGATACACGTACGTATCTACATCTCGATCCTCTGATGTAACGCTCACCTGTGGCACCACAGGAATCTGCACTGATATGCGAACCTGCGCGAGAAGTGCGTAATGTAGATAAGGGCAAAGGTCAGGAGTACGCTCTGCTGGTCGGTCGTATAACTGGCGCACATGTGAAGGTCAGGCACCTTTCGGCTCTTATATTTTTACTCTCCTGATATGTACTCTTTCACAGCACGGACCATTACCGAAGGGAAACCCCAAAGCCGCAACTGCACCTCCGCCCGCTCCATCAAAGTCGAAGGCCCCCGCGCTCGCAAAATCCATCCCCGCTCCAGCCCCCGAACCCGCTAAACCCAGAGAAGTCGAAGAGAAGTCCAAACCGGCAGGCCTCAAGGCGCCAGGACTGAAGGCCAAAGCGTCAGGCAAGATCGACTTTGGAAAGAAGTCTGAGGAGTCCGTTGCTAAGAAGCCCTCGCCACCACCGAAGGAGAAAGAGATCAAGCCAAAGAAGGAGGTCGCGAAGAAAGAGGTGAAGGCGGTCAAGATGGAGGACGAGGAAGAAGAGGACGAGGACGAGCCTGCAATGAAGTTCGGTCCACCGAGGGGCAAGAAGAAGACGGAGCCTGCCTCCAAGGTATTTCTGCCCTTCACGTGCCCTTTTGCTGCGTATACTGACGATATCAGCCCCCACAGCGCGGCGTGAAACGTAAATCAACATTACAACTGTCCGACTCAGAAGATGACACCCCGTCACCTTCTACGAGCAAACGTCCAACACCGCCGCCTGTCAAGCCTGCACCGTCAACTTCGAAGTCCAAGGCGGCGATTCGGGGTAAGAAGAGTGTCGTGCTATCGTCGGATGAGGAGGAGCAGGTTGCGGCACGGAAACCGCGCAAGCAAACCGCCGCAGAGAAGGCATTAAGCGCGATGATGGACATCGATGATGGTTCGTAACGTTCGCTCGATACCCGTGTTGACGTGAAGTGCTGAACGGGAGGGTTAGATACCGTGGAGATCGTCAGCCGCCACAGTACACGGCCTCCGCCGTCCGACACGGATGATGTGGACATGGGTTCTCCCGAAGCAGAGGAAACGTCTGAGGACGAGCCTGTGGTGACCAAGAAACCCGCGCGAAAGCCGAGGAAGGTCGTTCCTGTAGGCAAGAACGGTTTGAAGAAGCGACGTATCATCAAGAGTCGGACGGCGATGGACGACAAAGGATTCGTCGGTACGCATTTCCCTTCTTCGGCCCCCTCAGTCAAACTCATGACCGATCCGCAGTCACGGAGGACTACTCGGAGTACGAATCCGTCGATGAAGAAGAGCCCGCACCGCCTCCGGCAGAGAAGAAAGGTCTCAAACCCTCTACTGGCAAGAAGGCTGAGAAGGCTGCGTCGATCAAGGAGGACAAGCCCGCGCCGAAGAAGAAAGCTAGCGCGCCTGCACCGAAGAGGGTGGGGCAATCTAATATACAGAACTTCTTTGGCAAGAAGTAGATGGTGTCTACTTTACAGCGATGTCATTCTACGGGTATCTGTTTTCCCCGCGTTTCTGATATACCAGTCGCGTTCCTACCGTCACAGCCGCGCCCGATGTTTCGAAGGGTATAGCGCGTTGAGGAACCCATGCAGCTCCCTAGCCACTTCCTGAGGCTTCGTCTGTACGATCTGAGCAGTCATCCGCTGATCAGTCAAGTACACTTCATCACGGCGCAGGGGATGGGCTTACCAGATGCCCACCGCCAGCGACGATCGAACAACTAGATGCAGCACCGCGCGGCCGTCTCCACGGACCTTCGACCAACGACTCTGGTATGAAGCTCTCTTCGGGAGTAGGTAGAACCCAGTGCATTGGCAGGCTCGGCTCTAATGCCGGTATAGCCATCCACGCCTCCCTCGAGATCAGGTTCTCGTGCAAGGCCGCTCCCTGTAGATGTGTTAGCCGACAATTCCTTGGATATCGATCATATCGATGCAGAGCATGGCATACCAGGAATGCCGGGCACTTCAATGTCACACCTCCGAGATGATTCTCGGTGAGCGCATGCTCGACGTAGACGCGTAGGACTTCGTCATCCCATGCACCCCATGCTGACTTCTTCAAGGCATCGTAAGCTGCTTCCCTGCGGCCGTCCTTTCAGTCTCACTACGGCATACGGCGAACATCGGGTACGCACCTGCTCGGCCACCTATCTCTCTGCGATATGAGGTTCTTCGTGAACGCTGAGCGCCGTGCTGTCTTGTCCGCGTCCGGTGCGTACAAGACAGGATCGACCATGAACATCCCGCTAATCAAGCCTGGATAGTGATACGCCACAAGGGGTCTTGTCTCTTCATCAGCACGTCGCTCATGCATAGCATGAACATGAACTGACATGTAGGCCGCGCCCTGCGAATGCGCTACGGCAACGACGCGCCTTCTAAGGCCACCCTCCTCACGTCGACGTGTCACATTGGGTGTCACGCGAGCAAGATGCGTAGGTAAGCTCCCTGTTTCAGTACCACCCTCTGGAAGGTAATGGAGGAAGAAGTTTGCAAGGTCGCGTACGGAATCCATGTGGTCGTCTAGTGCGTGTGGTTCAGTCGCTCAGTAAGGATAAGAGAGGAGACATAGACGTAGATGACATACAGATCACCCCCATCTTTGATGCATTGAGTAGACCCGAGTCACCGTGCTGCGCGAAGTCGATGCTCCAGATCTCCTCAACATGGTATAAGCTGTATTTGGCTCGTTCGAGGAGATGGCGAAGCATCGGTTCGTACGTCTACACCGGTTCGTACCCGTCAGTCAAAGACATAGAACTTGAGGAAGTGCTTCAAGTCTAGCTGACCTCCTTGTGTTGACCCAAGGGATGAACACAGAACAGCGTCACACCTCCTCTCCGTCCGGTCCACTTCTCGCCTCCTGTCGTACGACGTGCATAGCGGTTTACAACGGTCCAATGAACGTCTTCGCTCCCAACGTTCGCCTTTTCGCTACATCCCCTCTCGTACATCTCTTTGGCATCCATGACCTCCTTCGTCATGCGCGTAACGCGCAACTTGCGAGCTTCACGGCTCTCGTTTGGCGGAGGTGATGCCCAAGGAAGAGGTGTATCGGGAGAGCAGCGAGGGTAAGCGGCGGGGAGGATATGTGTTGTAAGTTCGAAGCCCGGGATGGTGGAAGGATCGCGGACTGGGCTGGGAAGAGCTGGTGCCATTATGGCAAACGGAGGTGGCGTTGGTGGGAGGAGAGATCGAGGAGACGAATGCATGGCTCGAGAGGGCGCAGGGATGCTTGAAATGTCAGTCGTGGTCTGCATGTTCTATATGCAGGGCGAACAGCAAGGTGTTCAGGCAGCCATTCTTTATACGTACTGCCCAGTATCCTCCCAATTGAGCATCTCCCCGGGTACCCGTAGCATCACAAAGCCAGATAGAATCCGTCGGAGAGAAAGCGCCTAAACACTAACGCCACATTGGGACGATAGCATATGGCGAAGAAGATCTCGCATCGAGAACAAAGCCGCTGAGCACCTGGGGAGTGGAGAAGGCCGGTCGGCATTCTACAGTTCACGAGTCAAGGAAGCGTCGGATGCTCGGCAACAGCTCTATAGACCGGAGAGCACTTGCGAGACATGCAGATGTCGAGTATGAGGTGAAAAGATGGGGATCGCCGGTCGATACGTCCGTCAGTACGAAGTGAGACACCGGTCGGCCAGGGAGTCGGCGTTCTGAGGGTAGCTCTCTCCGCCAATGCCGGCGCATAATAATTCGAAATATACTGCATGTGGCTCCGAAGAATGCTATTCCAGCGACGTGAGCCGGCGAACAGGTGCACACGGAGATGAGGAGAACCGAGAAGCCCGCAAGGACAATACTTCTCCCCGGATCGTGACGTACGCACGAATGTCAGTGACCCGCAGCAAACACCCTTGTGATATGACAGAATGTAGTTATCTAAGTACAACAGTGTTGGAAACAAACTCGCTCTACAGCCACTCGACAGTCTATCAGATGGATCAGCTGTGGCACTTCCCGCAGCAAGAAGAGTAGACTCACCGCCGGCGGCTTGCTTGAGATATCGTATGTTACACGGTTGATGCCAGCAACCTCGTTCGTAATCCGGCTCGAGATCTTCTTGAGAACTGGCGCAGGGAAGACGAACCAGTCGGCCGTCATGAAGTCTTCGCTCTGCACGGCCCTGAGTGCGATGACCTGCTCGTACGTCCGCTTGTCACCCATTACGCCCACAGCGCGTACAGGCAGAAGGACAGCGAACGCCTGCGCGATCTGGTTGTAAAGGCCAGCAGCACGGATCTCTTCGATGTAGATGGCGTCAGCTTTTTGCAGGATGGAGACTTGCGAGCGGGTGATCGGGCCGAGAATGCGGATTGCGAGACCCGGACCGGGGAAAGGGTGGCGTTGTACAAGAGGGGCGGGGATGGATAGGAGACGGCCGAGGGCACGGACCTCGTCTGTGTAGATGGAATAGATGTTAGGACGATGGCCATGTTGTAAGAGAGGGAGCCACATTACCCTTGAACAGCTCGCGCAACGGCTCGATGAGCTTGAGCTTCATGTCCTTAAGCAATCCACCGACGTTATGATGCGTCTTGATAGTTGCGCTCGGGCCCTTGAAGCTGATGCTCTCGATGACATCCGGATAAAGCGTGCCCTGGAGCAACCACTCGATCTTTCCCTTGGCAGCTGCACCCTGCTCCTTCTCTTCCTTCTCGGCGGCAGCCTCGAGTTTCGCAGCCTCCTCCTCGAAGACATTGATGAATGTGTTGCCTATGATCTTGCGTTTCTGTTCGGGATCTTCGATACCTTCGAGACGGGAAAGGAAAAGGTCGGAAGCGTCGACAACTGTCAGGTTTACGCCGAGGTCCTTGTTGAGCATCTCGTGAACCTGTGATGCCTCGTTCAAACGGAGAACGCCATTGTCGACCATAATCGCATGGAAGCTGCAAGCCAGTGAGCAAAGGTGACATGCGAGCGCCCGTGAGGAAATGGTGAAACATACCGGTCCCCGATGGCTTCATGCATGAGTTTTGCGGCGACGGTACTGTCGACACCACCGCTAACAGCACCGATCACACGTCCCTTCTCACCACAGATATCGCGGATCCGTGCAATCTCCTTGCCAATGAACTCTTCCTGCGGCACAGCATCAGCAGCCTGCGCACGCGTCAATCGTCGGGACCAAGCGTACCATTGTCCACGATGGCTTGCACCCGACAATGTTGAGCACGAAACGCCCGATGACCTCCTTTCCACGCGGGCTATGCGTGACTTCGGGATGGAACTGGATGCCATAGAACGGGCGAGAGTTGTGTGCGATGGCGGCGAAGGGTGCGGTGCTCGTGCTACCGATGACATGGAAGTCCGTCGGCGCGACGTTCAATTGATCTCCGTGGGACATCCACACCTGGAATGGAGATTATATTAGCACGCGCACGACCAAGAATGGCAATTCTATAATCACTTCGAGATCGTCACCGAGACCCTCAAAGAGCGCGTCTGCGGAGCCACCATTGCCAGATTTGGATATCTGCACTTTCGCGAAGCCGTACTCGCGGTGTTCGCATTGCTTCACCTTGCCTCCGAGCTGCCATGCCATCTCCTACAACACGCTTTCAGCACGCGTTCTGCACACTACGTTCGCGCGACACGCACCTGAAGACCATAGCAGATACCAAGAATTGGCACACCGAGCTCGAACACTGCCGGGTCAACGTGTGGTGCGTCGGCGTCGTAGACCGAATACGGCGATCCCGAGAGGATGATACCTAGTCACAACGGATGAATGAGTCGGAAAGCATGATAAGATAGGCATGAGATGGTCATACCCTTGGGTTTCCACTGGAGCTCGGACAGTTTTTGGGTGCAGGGCATCAACTCAGCGTAGACATTGAGCTCGCGACATCTCCGAGTGATCAGATGGCTATACTGCGGCGAGTTGAGCCATGCACGCGTCTGACGACGTTCCCTGGCTAACCTGGGAGCCAAAGTCCAAGATCAAAATGGTATCGAACTGGTCATGAATCTCAGCCATGGCTGCGAAGATGGAGGAAGGTCGAAGGTAGGAGTCAAGAACGAGGAGCGCGTATCGGAGCCCATGGTCGTGCGGCGGAAGCAGATAAAATGAAAACTCGTTTAGGCTGCCGAGACGCGGTCACGGGGGTTGCCGTACATACTGACTCGACGCGTCCACGTACATCTCCGACTCTGCATCTTGGCTCTGCCATCCCAGAACGTCGACATGGCGCCAGTGAGCCTGTGCGGCATGGAAAGTATAGTTATTGGGCGCGAATCCAATCTGACACTCGTACCCATCCAACTTGGCGAATCTGAGCTCATGTGAGCGCCCAAACGACGACTTGAAAGCGGACCATGTGCGCGACGTGACTATACATCACACGGATAAGCAGTTCACAGTAGCTAATAACACGCCCAAGCGCTGCTTGGCAGCTTCTACCCTGCTTGATTGACATGTCGTGCGAGAAGGCACCTGATGACATCTGGTCCACTGATAGTGGACATACACTCATGTATACTTCGTACGATTGAAAAGCGATCATTAATATTCACATGCATGCACTATTGTGACAGTATTACGCATGCATTGGCATAAGACTCACAAGTTAGAGAACGTGCAAGGTATCGTCGCCCAAATCGCAAGTATCGTCGTTGCGGGTTTGCCCTCAGTAGTGTGCTGAAATGATTGACAGTCCGTGACATGAGAGTAGCAGCGGCGTTAGGCGCACAAAGCAGTTGAGATAGCCCCTCAGCAGATGATGCACCCAGGTAAGGCACACTCAGACTACTCACGAATCAAGCGCCGGGTCGAGCATATATAAAGCCCTATACAAAGTCCCAAACCCGTCAGGCTCAGACGATTACTCCGCTGCAACGCACATCCTCCAAAATTACCTCAGACTACTCGCCATGCAGTTTAAGCTCTTCACTTCGCTCCTCCTCCTCACTCTCTCGGGCATTGTCGCCGCTTCACCCACCCCGCTCCTTGTGGGTTGCGACTCCAAGACGCAGTGTTGCAAGCGCGAGCGCATTGACGGGCGCGATGTGAGCCTTGTGGTCCGCTGCTGAGTACTCAATGAGTCAGTAACCTTTACTTCTTGCACGTCTATCCGTGAGTTAACCGGCTTATTAGATTCGCTTATCCTGGCCCGTGCCTGGTGGGATCGATGAAGAGGGGAGAATCGCTGAAGTCCAACAGCACTACCTGTCTGAATTTTGGATGTGCGACTCATAAGTCAGCCGGGGAAGGCGCACGCCCGAGGTTTGATGTTGTATATATTTGAGAAGGATGGTTGTACTGTGATGTGTTGCAAAACCGGATGACAATGCCGTACGAGGTGCGTGAGGGTAAGGAGAAGAACGCGACTACCATCCAAATGCGCGGTGAGACTTTCGGGCCGCTCGGCCGAAGTCCTGCCCTCAAGGGCCAAGGCGCGGCGCGGTCTTGCCTCCACCCCTCATGTTCGTGCAAGGCAGCTGAACTACTTCTACCAGACATGCCTACCACATAGGTATCTTCTTCGTCAGATGGCTTGTGACGCTCAGAATGGCATGTCTGGTATAAGGTTTCTTCCCTGACAAGCACTGTACCGGCCTACTCTCTCCGACGTGAAACATACCAGTCCGCCAATCCGCTCACTCCGGCCGGACACAGTTGCTCCAATGTCAACTTCCGACATGCACCGAAGAACCATCGGACTACGAGCTGCTGCCTCCGTTCCTTTGATCACCGTCAACAGCTGGATTGATGCACGCGAGGCGAACGAGGTCGCCGGGCCTCATCTAGCGCCGTGCTGTACGTTTTTGGCAGGGTTCAGCGTGATCCCGATTCACGCCTTAAGGCCATTGAATGCCGGATCGTCCACAATGCGGTGGGCTTTGGACGGCTTCAAAGTTGGCGGTGTCAGGGTACTGATCAGTAGTTGTCGGAGCGGTGATGCTCGACAACACTCTGAGGGTCGGAAGGCCAAATCCGACCCGTCTCGGCCAATGCAACTCGTGCGCCGTGCAAAATCTACAGCTATGGTCCCCCAGTACTGCCGTACTAAATATGTTGATGGCCTACAACGGTAGGAAGTGCCGTGTGGTTTGGCGTCCATAACCTCCTGGTTTGGTGCCTATCAGCTGTCTTCACAGAGTATAAGGACTGTCAGACGACACACACACCTTCAGGCTCTGACTTCACCAACGACCATGCTCAGAGTCGTGTTTTTTGCTCTTCTCCTCATCGCCGGCTCGGCGTCGGCTATTACCATTAAGTTCGTCAACAAGGTTTGTTCACCCTCCTACCGTTGTCCTCTTCACTTACTGACACCGTGCATAGTGCGATCATCGTGCGTGAGGACTACATATTCCTACCAACGTCTCTTGACGTGCTCCGTAGCTGTCTGGGCCGCCATCGCCGCTGCACCGAACGGCGTCCCGAACCCGAACATCTCGTGGGGTAAGAAGCTCACGCATGGCGAACACGCCAGTCACAAAGTCTCCGATACTGCCATCGTGCGTCTTTTGTATGCTGCAAAGGTGCACTTTGATATGGTAGCTCTGTAGGGTGTTCGTTCTTGGGGACGCACGGGCTGCAACGAAAACGGTGGCGTGAGTAGTTCGATCCTCCTCCTAACATTACATATGACATTGACTTCGGACGAAGAACTGCAAGACGGGCGCGTGCAACGGCGGTCTGAAGTGCACGGATGGAGGCATCACGGCTGGTGTCATCCTCGGCGAATACGGTGCATACACGTTCTCGAGTTCTTGTGCTTCAAGACAGGTTTGATTCATGGAGTCCTCAGGTCACGCCGACTTCGGCGCTTGCTGTGGCGGTAAAAGGACGAGCTGGGACCTGTCGATCGTCGACTCGGGTTTGAATATGCCAACCAAGTGGGTGATATTGACACATAGTAGGCTCTTCGTCCAAACTGACATTTACCTGTAGGCTGCACTCGTCAGACGGCCAGAGTGTTGCATGCACCAAGAAGCCCTGTAACCCTGATAAGGTTTACACGTATGCCACAGATTATGCCGCTGACCGTAACTCGAAGCTTGGAGCCACCTATACCCATACGTTCTGTCCTTGATTGAGCAGTTGTGTAGTGGAGTGATCGTACTTGCTGTTTTGTGCCGATCCATACTTTGTTCAGCTAATGTGCTCGTGAACCACTCTGTGTGAAATAAGTGCACTTTCGCGGAGAAAGATCGAACAAGAGTGTACATGACGGTTGTTGTACAATAGTGGCGGCGTTAAGTCGAAGTACTGCACCCTAGATGAGCTCGATTCGGTGCTGGCTTAAGAGATATTATTCTCAGTAAGTCAAGCAGACTGCACGCGCCGGTGGTGTAGCGGTAACATTGGGTCTTCCCACTATTTAAACCGGTGTGTTATGCGCGTTAATTTCAGAACTCATGTGCCGGTGGTGTAGTGGTAACATTGGGTCTTCCCATCGTAGAGTTTGGCCTAGCGCCGGGTTCGATTCCCGGCCGGCGCAGCTCGGAAAGAGTGGATTGTTTTTATTATAGTCGCCGAATGACATGGAGACTCGAGAGGGAAGATCGACATAAACTTGGCGCCCGCCTTCGGCGGTCTGGCTATTGCTACGCTGGCGCTTTCACACACTACGTGTACAATTCATATATCCGGCCTGTACCTGCTGTACAGTATGCGTGACACGGAATTGTATGTACGCGCGCTCGAGCGGGCTACTGGCCCAGCCTCCTGATAAACGTCCGACATGATGTTGCATATTCCTCGCTGCCTGGCGCCCGCCTTCGGCGGATTGGCTGTTGACTGGCCAGCTCGCTTATGCTCGCCCAGTGGAGTGGTTTCGATCTCCCGACACGATGCCCCGACAGCACCCCCCACCCTGGCTCGCAAGCTCGCCGAGGGTGGGGGTGCTGTCGATGCATCGGCCGGGAGTCGAAACCCCTCCACACGACCTAGCTCCGGGTTCGACTCCCGGCCGGCGCATCTTTTTGTACGCCTGAGGACGCTCAGAACACTCTTGAGCGATGTGGAACGATAGGTGGGGAGCGAATGCGGCCGCGCGGAAGCAGGAGTCGCGACTTGGGCGGAGGGCCGCCGCGTTTCCCACGAAGCGCCCTTTTGGAGATTCCGTCTTCGCCGAGGGCTCTCGCACAAAACAGCCCAGTTGCTTTTGAGTTACTTGTAGCAAAAACGTGGTTCGACCCGGGTTCGAACCGGAGACCTCCCGTGGACAACGAGCATATTGCTTGTGAGACGGACGTGATAACCAACTACACCATCGAACCCATGAATGCATGTTGGCCGTTGTGAATAAATCTCGCGGCCGTAGGTGAAGCGCAAGCCGCGAAGACGACGTCTGAGAGCTAGTGTAAATCGTTCCATCATGCCGCTGACCTACTGCTCATCGCATGTAAATAGTGAGATACGTGGTCGCTGCAGTCAATCGAGCTTGCAGGATAGTCCAGCCATAATGATACAAGTGCGAGTACTCCGGTCGCGCGTGCTCGTGCCGAGTTCCTTACACTATGTGGCGCGATGTGAGTGACATCAATATCAGATGGCACTAGTGTTTTCAGCGCTCCTATACTACAAGCATGCATGGATTGGTTGAGCATTCCCGCTAGCTTTAAAGTGATACCCGCCGAACATTGTAGGTCCGATGATACCATGAACTGCCTCTGCTCTCACTTTATCATCACACGCTCGCTCAATGCCCCAAACACCTCCGGGATGGTCTACGTTTATATGTGTGGGATTGCTACGCGAGTGAGAGGCGTCACTATGAGACCAACATGGCGGTCGGAGGCTTGTGCGGCGCGCGTCAACGAGCTTTGTTTGTGCCTATTTGCCAGCGACGCCATCAACGCACACGAGGCTTGGTAGCTTGCTGTCTTCCCCCACCTCGGCCACATAGCGTTCCCCTCACTCGTCTACATATATCTCCCATCCTAATTGTCAGGGGCCACTGAACTTCATTTACTACCTAGTGCTTCGCCACCATGCCGGGCACTCACTTACTCCCGCCTAACTTGCTCAAACTTTTCGCGCCACGGGCGCCACTACCTTACTTTCGACCGGTCGATAGAGATATTGACCGGGTGACGGACAAGAGTGTAGATGGCGTAGGCCCACTTCTGCAGATGCTCCGGGAGTCAAATGCGCTTTCTGGAGATGCACCGAACGCGAACGGGGACGCCATGGAGGAGGGCGAGGAACCAGCCTTTACACTTGCGGAGGAGGTCAAACGCCAAATCAGGCGCGAAGAACGCAAGAAAAGGAGAGCCGAGGAGTTGAAAGCTGCCAAGGATACATGTATGTCGTTTAATTGCATCTGAAGGCCAATATACTGATAAGCGGGTCCCGGGACGCAGACAAACCTGCGGAGGACCCAGAGGCGGTCGGCGATCCGTACAAGACGTTATTCATATCCAGGCTGGTAGGCCACACTCATCTCATAGCGCGAATTTATTACTGATAGTGAAATAGCACAAGAACACATCTGAAAGCGACTTACGCCGCGAATTCGAGACCTATGGAACAATCGAGCGCGTACGTATAGTGCGTGACAAGAAGGGACGCAGTCGTGGATATGCTTTCATCGTCTACGAGCGTGAACGCGACATGAAAGGTAATTTATATTCTTATTCCCGGCTGAAGCGACTACTAAAGTTACTTGTCTTTAGCTGCCTATAAGGAGTCCGACGGCTTGCACATAGCCGGCAAACGCATCATGGTTGATGTTGAGCGTGGGCGTACCGTTCGTGGCTGGAAACCGCGTCGTCTGGGTGGTGGTCTAGGTGGTCGGCCCAAGCCAGTTGAGGCACCGTCCTTTGTGGGCGGCGGTGGACGTGGCGGTTTCCGCGGAGGAGGACGTGGTGGCGGCGGCTTCCGTGGAGGAGGTGGCGGTCGCGGAGGCTTCCGCGGCGGCTTTGGTGGCGGTGGAGGCGGTGGCTTCCAGAGTGATCGTGGATATGGTGACAGAGGAGGAGGAGGAGGAGGAGGTAGGGGTGGGTTCGGTGGTGGTGGCGGCGGCGGTGGGTACGGCGGTGGACGAGACTTCGGTGGTCCTCCACGAGACTCAGGGTATCGGTGAGTTATACTCCGCTTGTCATGTGTCGAGCTATTTACTGATGGATTGTACAGTGGTCGTGGCGGAGGAATCGGATTCGGGGGTCGCGGTGGCTTTGATGGCCCTCCACAAAATAGGTATGGCGGCCCGCCTGGTCCTGGTGGTCCTCCTGGCCCTGGTGGCGGTGGCTTTGGCGGCCCTCCACCTGGTTACGGCGGCGGTGGCGGTGGCCCTGGGGGCGGCCCTGGCTTCGGTCCTCCTGGAGGAGGATTTGGTGGCGGGGGTGGTGGGTACAAGCGCGAAAATTCTGGCTACGACGACCGCGATCCAAAGCGCATGCGGTACTAGGCCCACACCGGCCGCGTGCAACGTCAAGTATCCCTCCCCGGTCTGCTTAATTGGACAAAAACGTGTTGTAAGGGTCGGGCGTACGTATTGCTGTTGGCCATGCAGGGTTTGTGGATACGGTAGCCTTCTCTTTCCTCCCTTTTTCCCTTTTCCGCATGCGAACCTCACATTTCCCCCATGCCCTTCAAACTTCCTTGTCGATTTTATTCCGTAAGTATACTATACCTGTTGGGTGGGTGGGCGACAAAGGAGCGGGAGAGGACGTGCCCCGAAGGTCAAGTATAACAATGTGTCATACGCCTGATATCCATTTGCAGAGCGTTCAGACGCCTTTCGAAGCGTTGCTGCATCGCCATCATTCGCCAGGAGTTCAGGGTGGATTGTGATGGTCAGGAGTAGGTAAGACGACGGTAAGGGTCGCTCTTTACCAAAAGATGAATATAAGCGCCATGAGCGGACGCTCTATGGAGACCCTGAGTGGTCGTACACGCTGACGGTTGACAGCTGCTTGCAAAACGATAGGCCACCTAGGGGTCCTACACATAGAGAGCCGG